GCCGTGTGTGAGTGAGAGGCTCGGTGGTGACGGAGGATCGCCGGTGAGAAGGGAGGCGCGGCGGTGACTGATGAAAGAGAGAGGGAGAGACCAGTGGCGAGAGAGAGAGAGAGAGGAGCGCCGTGTGAGTGAGAGGCAAAGGCTGAGTGTGTGTGTGTTTGTGTCTCTGTGTCAAACCCTAAACAAAACAAGCATATATATAACCAGGGATAAAACGGTAATTTCACCTCGGGGATTAAGCGAGGCGGGCCGGGGTCGGGGGTCGGGGCCGGGGCCGGGCTGGGGCCGGGTCTGAAACACCTATCCCCGTCCCCGGTCCGAATATCATCGGGGATGAATTTTTGAATACCATCCCCGGCCCGTAAGGGATATTTTTCGATGAATAACCACTGAATTCGGGGTCAGGGAGTCGGGTCACCGTCGGGCCGGTTTCAGATTACCATCCCTAGTTACAAAGTTAGTGGTCTTGCATGGTGGAACATGGAAGACAAAGTGGAAAAAGTTAAAGCACATGTGAAGAATATGATGGACAAAGTGACTTGGCGGAAGACATGAAGGGATATGTGGCATTGTAGGGATAAAGGTGGAAAGGGGGTAGTTTTAGGTGGTTATTGGATAGTTATTGCTGGAAGTTTTTCCCTATAAATAGCTATTGATGGCTACATTTACAGGACCAAAACCAGATCCCGAAACCAGTTTATTTTACTTTACTTTTCCAATCATTTACTTTCCAGTTCTTTACTTTCCCGCACTGCAGTTCAGTTTCTTAGGAGTAATTCTAGGTTAGTCAGTTCTTTGCTGTAATCCCCTTCGAAGTTATGGAATTCTGAAGGTACTATTGTAAACATTTGTTTACTTAATGAAATATAAATTATGGCATTGTTCTCTCCCTCATTTTTTTACTTTTTTATTAATGCTTCTAAATTTTCTCCTAAAACAAGTCACCTGTAAAAGTCCTATTCATTGAGGCTAAAAGAATTTCGAAGCAATTGTCTGATTAATTGGTTGGAATCTACTATTTCTGTAAGGACTTATTGATCCTTGCTAGCACACTCTAATTACATTTTTAACCTTCGAAAGCCAAAAAAGTCAACATATATTTTTGGCACGCCCGGTGGGACGTCAAGTGTAAAAAATGAAAAATAAATTGGATTCGTCCATTCCAAATAGCTTAGATGAAATCTTTTGGCATAAACAAAAAATTTTGGATCTTCAAGAAGAGATCCATTTTTTTGATGAAACAAACTTCCATCTATTAAGAAAAAAGACGCGATTTAATTGGATAAATTCATGAACTTGATAAGAAAATTCACCAATGGAATAATGAGTTGTCAACTCTCACTACCGAGTCTTTAACCGAGACTTTAATGGCTAGAATTAGTGAATTTTTTTTGAAGTTTCATTGTTGAAAATGGGAAAAGGAAAGAGTTGATTTCATCAATGGCTCAGGAGTTAAAAAAACCCATTTTTGAATAGCCAACTTATGAAATTAAAATAATGAAAGAGCATGTTCTTGAGTCAAACATTGCTAAGAATGATGTTCCATATATGGCTTGGGGGGTTCATACATCCATTTGTAGAGAGCCAAGTCATGAAAAGCTTGCTAGGAGGCATGTTTTTAAACCAAGTTTGGTTAAAAATGATGAGCAACCCACAGTTAATGGATTTAAAATTTTTAATGATGTGAAAAATCTCAAAATATTTGAATTTCCAAAACCACCATATACCACTATCTTCATTGTTCAAAATCCATTTTGGATTTGTGGTTCACATCAAAATTTAATTTTGATGAAATGGTTAACAAAATATCAAAATCTAGAAAATATATTTGTTGAGTTTTTTCTTATATTTTCACAATGGGAAGCATGGAAATGACCAATAATATTGGTCTTGGCTATTTTCATGGGTATATATGAAATAGTGGCTAATACAAATTTACAGTTGGTTAAGGAAGAAGAAGCTATGTAGAAAACACAATAAGTTCACATGTTTGTTGTTTTCTACCATGCAATGTGAAAACCATCATTCTTGACAAAAGTTGGTTTTTGCTATGTATTAGACATGACATTTTTATACTCCAAATTGTCTTCAAAGTGGATATGTAAACAACTATCATTTTGGCTTTGTTGTTGGTCAACGTGTGTGCTTCAAAAGCCCTTTTTGCCATAATTTTTTAGTTTCGAAACACTCCATCTTGCATCAACAACTTCAAAGAAAAAAATAATGGTGGTTGTGAACTTCCGAAGTTTTGCCGAGTATTTCTAAGAATGTAATTAGTCAATTGTCGATCCCTTTAACCTTCGAAGAATGATTTTGGCCCTCTAGTAATACCTTTACACGATGGCTTTCATCATTTGAATTACAACTCTTCAAGAATTCGAGATGTCTTATAATTTTTTACCATGATATTGGCTACTGTCAAGTGAGACATTTGCTACTTTTACATGGCGGTAAACTTTGAATCATTTCGGAGTGGCTTCCAAGCATTTTGAATTAGCTTCGAAGTAGCTCTAATGAGGCTTTAATATGTCATTCTTTATAATGAACCTTCAAGTAAGCTTCGAAGGGTGCTAGAGAAGCTTTGAAGGATTCCGAAAGAGTTTCAAATAAGTTTTTTTATAATGAACATAGTAGTTTTACCATGTCATTGAAATATTAGTCATGATTTTTGGACACCGTATACATTGAGTGCATACATTCATTGATTACAAATTAGTGTGTTGAAATTTTGAACTTGCCACCTAAGAAAGTACAAAACTTCTACTTATGACTCATACCAAACATGATTAGCATGTATTGTGTCCAAATCAACTTAGTACTTCTTGATTCGAATTAATCACTTTGAAGCACTCATATTGACTTCGAAGCATATGCTTTTAGTGTAATGTCCCTTCAAAGCATTTCTTTGGTGCTATTGTGGTATTCAAAGCACTTTATTACTCATATCAGTTCTGTGCTTAGTTCAGCTTTTCAAAAATTCAAATAAACATTATTTTTAAAGAGCCGTGGGAGGTAATGTTGACACCATAAATAATAATATTATTAGTATTACTATTATTATTATTGTAAGACACGTGGCATTTTCTTGATCCATCAGGAGTTAAGAAAAGTTACAAAGTTAATGGTCTTGCATGGTGAAACATGGAAGACAAGGTGGAAAAAGTTAAAGCACATGTGAAGAATATGATGGACAAAGTGACTTAATGGAAGATATGGAAGGATATGTGGCATTATAAGAATGAAGGTGGAAGAGTGGGTAATTTTAGGTGGTTGTTGGGTAGTTATTGCTGGAAGTTTTTTTCCTTATAAATAACCATTGATGACTACATTTATAGGACCGAAACCACATCCAGAAACCAGTTTATTTTACTTTACTCTTCCAATTCTTTATTTTCCCAGTTATTTACTTTTCCAGTTATTTACTTTCCAGTTCTTCCTTTCCCCCACTACATTTTAGTTTCTTAGAAGTAGCTCTAAGTTAGTCTGGTCATTGTTGTAATCCCTTTTGAAACTGTGGAAGTGTGAAGATACTATTATAAACATTTATTTATTTAATGAAATTGAATTCTGATACTGTTCTCTCCTTCCATCTTGTACTTTTTGATTAATGCTTTTGAATTTTCTTCTAAAATAAGTCACTAGTAAAAATTCTTTTCATTGAGGCTAAAAGAACTTCGAAACAATTGTTTGATTAATTGGTTGGCATTTACTATTTCTGTAAGGACTTATTAATCCTTACTGGCACACTCTAATTACATTTTTAACCTTCGAAAGTCAAAAAATTCAGCATATATTATTTTAAGATATTTAGTTATAATTTTTTTATGTTTGACTATAATTTTTTTTTAATTATGATTCAAAAAATATAAAATTATATTGTATATATATATTAGTTATAAGATGTATATATTACATACTTCGAGAGGGGTGATCATTCACTATTTTCAGAGTATGGACACATGGTATTTCATAAGGTTTTGATTGGTAGAGAGAGGTAAGAGTTCACGATTTATATTGAAAGTAGAGAACAACATGAAAATTAAGTAATTGATAATTAACTTAAAGTATGACGACGTAGTATTCCAGAATTATTAAATAATTTCCCCTTCGAGAGTGTGTACTAGGGGGGTGCAACTCAAGCAGGTTTGGTTCAGTTAGGAGGTTGTCCAAGCCTAACCTAAGTTATGCTGAGATTTGCCCAAGCCCGCCTAAGTCCAAATTGTAACCTGAGGATGTCTGTCCAAGTCCGATCCAAGTTAAACCCGAATTGCCCGAATTGTAAATGAATTTCAAATTTTTTTTTTTTTTGCAGCTACATTATTAAATTATTAAAATTTGACTCTATTTACAAATTTTTTTTATTTTATAGAAAATTATTAATACCATCAAAACAAATAATTTATATAATGTAAGAGAGATACCACTATAGTAGTCCTTACAATTTATGAGTAAAAATAAAAAGAAAAAAAAGTAAAATTTTATGTTATTTATATATATAATATATATTCAATATGATTTAATAATATAAATTATTTTAATATCATGTAATGATTAATAATTTATATTTATATTTAATATTTTTATGTCTATATATGTGTAATTCGGGTTTCGGCTTGCTCGGATTGTTTGACATCTTTGCCTAAGTCCGCCCAAATTTAATTCAGACTTTTGAATTTTTGTTCAAACCCGTACCGAATTTAAAAATATTTTATCCAAGTCCTAAAAAAATTCAAACTGAGTTCGGATTGCTCGGGTTGAGCCCGCCCAAGTTACACCCTTAGTAATAAGTAAATTAAAATTTCTTTGGACTTGCTTGAAAAATGGG